AAGGAATAGAATAAGTAAATCCCTACCATTCAAACCATAGTTAGGACTCTTAGATATATATAATGACATAGGAGGCACCTTGTAACACCCCGTGTTACGGCCTCTAACCCAAACTAATTATTTAATTACTTACCCCTAAAAGAGAATTGAATTCCCTTAATTAATTAGGAAGGGTCCACCATAGACCATGAACCCTTATCCCTAAACCAAACCCTTAGTCCTATAAGGAATAGAATAAGTAAATTCCTACCATTCAGACCCTAATTAGGACTCTTAGATATATATATAAGGACATAGGAGTCCCCTAGAAGTCACACCAGAACAGATTCCACCACACAAGAATTCCCAAGAATTCCCCTATCACCAAACGTAGGAGAAATCAAGAAGTGGAGATCTTAGAGAAAGGACCTTAGTAGCCAAAGATTCTAAATTAAGGCTAAGAGGTAACCCATGTCTCAACAAAACCAATTTTCCATGCTATAATTGTAACACCCCGAAATCTTTGAACTTTTAAAACTTATATAATAAAGGTAAATCCTCATTAAATCACAAAATTAAACATAAGAGTTTGGGGTGCTATGCCACATCTGAGCTGGAGAACCTAGATGCACAGGCTAACTAACTAAAATCCTTAATGCAATGTCAATACATAATCATGGCATGCAGGCCGAAAGGGAAACTAACTAATCTACGCTTCGGATCTCTAGCGCGCTCCGGGGTCTACTCATCTGTGCCTGAAAGCCAAATATATCTATTCAGCGAATGATGCTGGTAACCCACTCCAACGCGTTGAAATACAATATAGGTATATATATATATATATATATATATATATATATATAGGAAAATCATTTTGAAGCAGGAAGTTATATACTTAGGAGACTCTAGCTTTAAAAACCATGAATAGACTCAGCAAATAGGGACAAACACATTAATCAATGATAAACAGTTAAGTAGAGAAAACATCATAAAGAATATGCATCTAAGGTCATAGGTCACTTTCAAATCAATTACATCATCATCATTCGTATCACATAAGCATACTCTGGTGGCGCCACGGGAACAATCGCATGCCCCGAACATGAGGGTTAGTGCATATAGCACTAACACGGCCCCGCAGCACCCTACCTAATACCGCAGCATGAAGGAAGTTGATCGCAACCAACCCTAAGGACCGCTGACGAACTTAGCGTCGGACCACAATCCTACACACCGCTGACGCGCTCAGTCGGTGGACTGTGATCCCCTTTACAAGGGGGGACTTACGACCCTACACACCGTTGACGGGCACAGTCGGTGGATCGTAGCGGATCAAGCCCTACACACCGCTGAGGGACTCAGTCGGTGGGCGATGATCCTCGGAGACTACGACCCTACATACCGCTGGCCCATCACTTGGTGGATCGCAGCCAGCTGCATCCCTACACACCGCTTGATTGCTCATTTGGTGGATTACAGCCTTCCTCGGGCTTATTGGCCCTACACACCCTTGACGCGTCCAGGTCGGTGGGTCATGCACACGAGGCCCATGTGGACCGCAGCTGTGACACCCCAAAAATCCACACTCCAATCCATGAATTAATTGAGTAATTAATTCTAATTCTTTTGAGGAATTGATTCCTAAAATCCTGATTTTTAATACTCAAGGACTAGTATTTGACTAGTCAATCTTTAAGTTGTGTTGTACCTTGTGCTTAGAGAGGAGTTCCCTTGTTCCTTACACTTTCTAAGGGTTAGTAAGGGTAGCCTTGTCTTTTCACCAAGAGTTAGTATTGTATCCTAACCTAGAAGACTTCTTCATTTCATTCCTTACAATTCCTAGAAAATATCTCTACATTCTCTCTAGAAAAGAAGTGTAGCTTATTCTCTAAGCCAAGTTGAGACCCTTGTCAAGATTCCAAGTTTTGCTTCCAAGATTCAACCTTTCACCTATGTGGGCATCTAGAAGGGTAAGATCTAAGCTTGTCTAGTCTTTTTGGTTCCATCTTAGTTGTCTTTTTCTTAAAGGTGGGATCTTTATGATCTTTTGGTTTGATTTTGAAGTTGGGTTTGAGAAGTGAGCCTAGTGGAGAGCTTGTTGTGGTGTTAGTGAAGGCTTTTGGTCTTCAAGAGGTAACCCATGCTCTACAAAACCTATTTTGCTTACCTATATGTGATTTCTTGGATTCTACTTGTGTTTTGCTATGAAATTTGAGGGTTTATGCATTTATCTTGTGATATTGCATATCTAGAGCTTGTGTTTAGGGTTCCTTTAATTTGTGCCATTGCTTGGCATTTTCCTTGGTTCAAGTCATTTTGTTGTGTTTGGTGAGATTTGGCATGTTTTGGACTTGAATGTGTGTTTGGAGAAGAAAATCCCCGAAGGGATTTGTTGTGGAACAGGTATGTTCCTGCGGGCGGGGCACCACCCGCCGGCCTACCCGCGGGTACACAGCCTCGTGGGATATTGTTCCCGCGGGCGAGACTACGGGTGGGGCACTACCCGTGGGTCCACCCGCGGGTACATGGTTGTGGTGGTGTTGGGATTTGTTCCCCGTGATTTGGTTGTCTTGGTGTTTGATCTTTTGGCTTCCCGATGTTCTTTTGTGGAACTATTTGAGCGTCTTCTTGATGTTTCGTAGGTCTAGAACTATATGGTAGGTATCCATGTAGGACTTTGGTGTCTTGAATCGTGCTAAGTGTTCAACATTGTGTTTCGTTGAACCAAGAGGTGTCTTGTGGGTTCGTCGGAACTATCTTGAGTTTCCCCGTTGATAAGCATGCTAGTTTGTTGTCTTAATGCTAGCGTGTGTGTTGTTTGTACCTTCTGTTTGGTTGATGATAACTTGTGTTATCCATCATTGTTGTCGTTGGGTTGTGACCCGTTCCTTGATTGAGTATTTTTCATACCTTCGTTGTAATCCGTTGTTTGACTCTCGTGTGAGTGGTGGTGCGTGTGTGGATCTACCTGGATTGCACGATTTGTGGTATGGGACACTAGTCACCAAGGTATTGCAGCGGTCCTCGTGGTGGCCGTGACGTGATTATGGAGTTATGGCCTGAGTGATGGGTTCACGTGATTGGGGGATAACATTGTGTTATCCGGGCATGTGTTGCCGTGATTGGTGGTGGTTCGTTGGTGGTTATAGGTGTGGGATGACGGTCCCGGCGGAACAAGGTTGGACTTGGCTATACAGGGGATCTTGGAGGTAATGGTTGGCTTGAAGGTACAAGGTTGGGGGTAGCCATAAGGTTGGAACAGGGCATAAGGAAGGCATACCAAACTCGTGATGGGTTATGTTGCGAGGGCTTTTAAAGCCGGTGTTGTGTGATCTTCTCTCGTGACGTGTGTAGTCACGGAGGCTTGTGGTGTTTTGGCATGTGTTGCCGTTGGGTGAGTCTTTATCCTTGTGTGTGGTTAACCTTTGTGGTTAGGATGTGTTCCCGGTGTTATCCTTGTGAGTGGTGAGTCTTGTGTTGTCTTTTGATCTTGGCTTTTGACTTATATATATGTATTCCGTTTCGAAAATGGTTTTTATACCTTATATCTACCTATTTATGATACTTAACGGTATTGGTGGGTTAGCAGCATTATTCGCTGACCGGGCGTCGTCCCAATGTTTATCTTTGTGTTCTTTCAGGTGGTGTTTAGACGAGAGCGATGTCTAGAGCCTGGTAGCTTAGCACCTTTGCGTTTTTGTGGCCTGTGCGCCAATGTTTTTAGACTGTTTAGATTGATGTATTGGGATAGTATTATACACTTGCAAATTGTTGCCTTAGCGTTACCTAGTGTGGTATACGTGGCATAACACCCCTTTTTGGATTTCTTTTATCCAGTTTCCGTTTATCTTCCGCTGTGCTAGTTTTGTTGTTAATCTGCTTGTGTTAGGGCTTCAATTGGGCCTTGTTTTTGGGGGGTGTTACAGTTGGTATCAGAGCCTAGGTTTTGAGCCTAGGAAGAGTTAAGTGTAGACTTTCTAAGTGGTTAAGTGTGTTTTGAGACCTCTAAGCGACCTTAAGAAGCTAAGTGTTAGGCTTAGGACTCTAGGTTGCGCGGTGAGATGTGTGTTGTTTGCTATCTTGCTTGTTGTGATACCCCGTAATTTATAACCGTTCTATTTTAATAAAATGTTCTTAGGAACAAAATCTATTTTGCGATCTTAAATATTTTAGCTCGAATACTCTCAAAATAAATTATTTTATTTTAGAATTGAAATAAGTTAATTTATAGCCCATGATTTTGTTATCCCAAAATCTATCTGAGATGAGCTTGCAAATATCATTTCATGTCTATTGTTCCTAAGCCCAAATCATTTGAGATCCTTAAGCCTAATAAATATTTCTTGGACCCAAAATGTCTAGGCCCAATGTTTGACCCAACATTTAATTATGGTCCAATCCTAAATCTTAAAATAAGAAACCCTAGTGTACATATACAAATATATTAGAGTAAAAGACATTTTTGGTCCTAGACTTATAGTGGCTTGGACAATTTTAGTCCTTTATAAAAAAATTTGCCATTTTATGGACAGAGTTATTGTGGCGAGGACATTTTTAGTCCTCCGTCTATATTTCTGTTAGATAACCGTATGAGAGAGGGACAATTACGTCAATTTAGGCTATCTCCTTTTATCTATTATATCTATGTGTGTTTGGCGGCTTCGATTCTCCTTCTATCTATTTGATTAGTAACCTGTTTGGCGGCTTCGATTCTCCGGCAATTTCTTCGTACAACTGCAACTTGGACTCTCCGACTCCTTCGAATTATGACCGAAAAGAAAATAAAACACACATAGATATAATAAATAGAAGGAGATAGCCTAAATTGACGTAATTACCCCTCTCTCTGACGGTTATCTAACAGAAATATAGACGAAGGACCAAAAATGTCCTTGCCACAATAACTCTGTCCATAAAATGGCAATTTTTTTTATTATGGACTAAAATTGTCCAAGCCACTATAAATTTAGGACTAAAAATGTCTTTTACTCAATATATTATTATAGCCTTGTTATCCTCTTCCTTGAAAAGAAGTCAGCAGCCGCACTCTTTCATCTTCCCCAATTGGAAATCCGGCGGTGAAACATGAGCGTTGCTCCCCTCCCTCGATTTCTTTACTTCTGATTAGCCCTACCCTCGTCTCTCTCTTCGTGTCTCATTCATCGGCGGAGCAATAGAACAACAAGGGAACGGCGGTGGCGGTCAGTTTGGTGTAGCGAAGCTTCCTCCTCTGGCGGTGATCTCTGGCTCCGACCTCTGTTTTCCGGCGAGGCAAAACAGTGGCGGTGGTGCTACATAGGTGAGGTATTGATGTTGTTTATGTTTGTTGTTGATGATGTTATTCCGTAGCTTGAAGCTTAAAATATTGATGAAGCATAGTAACTAATGAATGATTACTGGTGATTATTGGAAGATGTTGAGTAGATATTGATGATGTTGGCGTGAATGGGTTTTTAAAAAAAATGTGCAGTGTTGTTGTTTGTGGCGTACTGATAATTAGATGAGGAAGATGATGATTAGATTATGCTTAGAAGATTAGATGGTGATGATTAGATGAAATGATGGTGGTTATATGATTAAGAGATGATTGTGATTATGGATTCTGCTATGCTAATGTTTATAAAGCCTAATAATTGGGATTAGCATGCTTAATTAAGGATTAATTGGTTAATGATGATTATTGAATAATGATGAGCACGATGGTAATTATATATGATGATGATGGGGTTGTTATTGTTTGATGATAATGATGGCATGACATGGTGATACTATAATTAATGGTTGACGATTGAGTATGATTATGGTGACTAATGACTATTATAATCTAATGAGTATGGATTCTGAAGCATGACAATTATGATAATGGCTAATGATTAATTGATAATTAAATGATGGATCAATTATTAGTTGGGTGTCATTGATGATGGAATAAATATATAACTGTTGTTGTTAAAGATGAAGTCTATGGTGATTTTTAAAACTTGATGATGAAGATTTCATGTTGGTAGTGTTGGTATTTAAATAAAAATGAAATGACAATGGCATAATGATATTAGATGATAATGATGTTTCTGTGGATGGTGATCTGTGAAATAGAAGAAGCAGCATCTTAATCAAATCATGGAAGATGATAATAATATGATAATTATTAGATTAATGGTGATTAGCAAGATGATTACTGATAATCATGATGTTTAAGGATGATAAGGATGCTTATGAATTAATGATCATAAATCATGGTTAAATGGTTGTTGTTGATGATGGCAGTGAATGATAAAGGAATTATTCGATGGTGGTTATGATGTTGATTAGTGATGGTTACTAATAATAATAATAATATTATTATTAGCGATTAGTGATTATATTAGATTGTTGACCCACAGGTTCTGTTGAAGTGACTAACTTATAAGTTGAGCCTAGATTGGGTGTTGGCTTTGAGAGCTTAGCTTGAGGTAAGTTCTTATGTCCGTTTAAATTACTTTGCCCTATTAAATGTGCTACTTATTTGAGTTGTGTACTTACATTATTTTAAAAATGTGTTCTAGTTTCAAAATGTGATAAATAGTAAAATATGGTTATTTTGGGGTTAACTTGTGATATGGGTTGAAACTATATTTTTGAAAGGTGTATAATCTATGGTGTGCCAAAATGTTTTGTGTTGAAACCCCATTATAATTGGGATTGATTTGAGCATTGGAAAACTTATAATTTTGTGATATATACATATATTTATATTGCTATAGAGTTCGATGAAACTCATACTTTGTGAAATATTGATTGAAAACCTAAGTATATTGAAATGAGTGAAACTATGTTTATATTGGAGGATATGAAGTTATATGTATTCTTGAAGGACTATCTTTTTGGAGGAAATGTGTAAATTAGAGAAAATGTATTACTTTGCATACTATTATATTCTTTTTTTGGAGGATGAAAACTAATTTGGAAAGTATGGATATTGATGGGTTATATATACTCTATGCTATTTGAAAGCTATGATTTAAATAATCTACGGGCAAATGAGGATGTTTACGAAAATCTATTTTTTGATAACTATTCTTATTTTTTGGAGGATATATAAAATGTATCTATTTTTGGAGGATATGTGGATATGATGGATGGTTGTGGAATGGTGGACTTCGGTCCTATGTGGGCTCTGGCCCTATTCTAATGAGATTGTATATGGTAGAAAACATCTTGGATACCTATTATATGTGGAGTAGCCTAGTAGAAAACATCCTGGGCTACTTGGACTAGTTACTACTCTTTTGGGTGGGGGAAGCCCATTAGGGGGTGTGCACACTTAAGGTTTTAGTCCTTTATCCCACGAAAGGGACAAACTTGTGGAGTGGCCGATAGAGTGGATTACCGTGTCACTAGGGCTTAGTTGATCTAAGACCCTTCGTCTCTTTCATCTTATATATATGAGACTATATGGTATGTGATACTTGGAAAAGTGATTTGAGAAATATGATTTGAATTCCTCCCTATCTATTATTATTGACATATATGTTTCTGAGAATGACTTGAGAGAAATCTATATCTTGATATGATGATTTGAAGAGATTATTATTTTGCTATTGTGAAATCTTCCATATATACTTGTATACCTATCTATACTTCCAAAATGATTATGTGGAAAGCTATGCTTTGAAATGATACTCATATTGAGAAGTCAAATTTCTAAATCCTCCATACTTATTATTTTGGGAAATGAACGAATGATTTATAGGGTAGTTGTATTGTTTTAGAAAGAGTAAATGTTACTATTTTGGCGGCCCTATTACTAATATGAAACCTAATGCTATTTTGAGTGGAGTGTGTTATGGCCTTGGTGCCTATTTCATTTTGGGAGAATTATCTTGGAAAATAATTTACTACTTACCTTTGTTATTGAGTCAAATTATATGATTGAAATGATTTTAAAACTCATTTACAAAGTATGTCCAATTTGAAAAGTATAAATGTAAGTATTTTACAGGGCGGAGTAGAGCTTACTTAGCATTTTATGCTAATCCTTTTATTTGTGTTTTCCAAACCTTAATGTTTGCAGGATTTGAAGTTGTTGCTAGTTTGAGAGTGCAGCGTAGAGCTCGTAGTCTTGGATTTGAGTTTGGTATAACTGGTTTAGTCTTAGAACTTGAATTGTTGTTTTAGTTAATTTGTGATTTGGAAAGTGGAATGTTGTAATATGGATTTGTAGATAGAATTTTTTTTTTTTTTTTTAGCCTGTGCGTTTGGGCTTAGTTGGCTGCCCAAGCGTGGCATAGCACCCCAATGGTTTAGATTTTGATTTTGCTTCTGCATTTGTATTTAGTCGTTTAGTAAGAGAAGTTTTTTATTTTGGTTTTTAAGTTGGGGGTGTTACACTTGTTTGCTCTTTTTGGTAATCTCGCTGTTGTTGTAGAAGTCTGCGATGCCTCCTCGTCCCCGCGCTCGCACCCTAGAGACTCCGACCAACGAGCAGCTCGCTCAGAATCTCCATCAGCTGACACAGACGATGCAGTCGCTCAGTGAAGCCTTGTTGAACAACAATCAAGTTGTGCCGCCTTCGCCTCCTGCTGGGCATCGCGATGTAGGTCGTTTGGTGTCAGGGCATCGGCCGCCATCCTTCGCTGGCGAGGAAGACCCTGTAGTCCTTGAAGAGTGGCTACGGGTGTTTGATAAGATCTTCACCGTGGTGGGCTGTCCCGAAGGGAGGAGAGTAGAACTGGCAACGTTCTACTTCTGCCAGGAAGCGGATTTGTGGTGGGTCCACGAAGGTCCGACCTTCCTTGAAGAGCCTGGGTTTGATTGGACCGCGCTCAAGGACAGAATGTGCGAAAGGTTCTACCCAGCGCATGTGCGAGCCGCCATGTTTGATCAGTTCCTTCATCTGCAGCAAGGACCTCTATCTGTGGTTGAGTACCACAAGAAGTTCTTAGAGCTGGCGCGCTTCGCGAGGATGTTGGTGCCTACAGAGCTTGCCAAGGTTGAGCGTTTCGTTGCCGGTCTGAATTATGAGGCACGAAAAGCGTTGACGGTGAGTAGGCCCAGTTCCCTTAAGGATGCGTATCTGTGTGCCGCGGATCTGTTTCGTGTTCAGCAGCTTCAGAGGGGTTCGTTGGAGTTGGCCAGGAAGAGAGTTGAGAGTGGAGGTTCTTCTATCTTCAAGAAGTCCCGACCGAGTTTTCCGGCTAGAGTTGTGTCTTCTTCTTCTCAAGGACCTATCAGAATGGAGCCCCAGGTTCAAGCTAAGTCGGTTGGTTGTCGTAAGTGTGGGAAAGTGCACGTGGGCCAAGATTGTTTCGGCCAGGCATTTAAGTGTTTTCGCTGAGGGGTTGCTGGTCACCGAGTCGCGGAGTGTCCCCAGCTTGCCGGTCAAAGAGCGCTGCCGCCACCCCCGAGAGCCGGAGGAGCACCAGGAGGGAGTTCAGGTCGCGGAGCTGTCGGAGCTAGGCCGTCTGGGAGGGTCTTCGTGATGGCGCGTTCGCAGGCGGAGTCGGAGGGTCTGGTGGAGGAAGAGTTAGCAGGTAACCCTTGTTTTCGAGCCTATCCTTGTTTCCCGAGAGTGCTGTGTCCTTTGTTGCCTTGAGTGCTATCTTGTGTTTCGTAGTTGTCTTTGTTTGGCAATCCTCGGCATGCTTTCCTTGTTAGTATTTCGTTGGATGCTTAGTATAGACTCTTTTCTTGCTAAGTGCTTTCTCTAGTTGGCTTCTAAATCTTGTCTTGTAGTAGCCATCTATCCTTGAGTTATCTTGTGCTTAGATCAATTCTTCCACCCTTGTACTTGGTTGCTCTTGCAACAATCCCTTGTGCATTTCCTAAAATTTTTTCAAGTATTCTTTGATTTGAAAAATAGCAAATCCATACCAAAAACCTCTCCTTGTGTAGCTTAAAAGCCAAGCCTAATGTTTGAATGTAGCCTTGGAGTTTCGAACCCTAGCCTAATTCTTTTCTACCAAACCTCTAAACCACTTGAGCCAATTACCTTTCTTGAAACATAACCAATTTTAATTCCACCTAAACCTTAAATTTCCACTTTGTTCAAAATCCCCAAATTTAATCATCTTTTTCCCCAATTTCACCCAAATCCCTAAATCCTCAAAATTTTTCTCCTCTTCTTCTTTTTCCTTCTCCCTACCCGTGAACCACCCTAACCCCATCCCCAACCCGTAGCACCCCTTCCACCCGTCGCCGGCCACCACCGAACCGCCACCCACAGCCGTTCGCCGGAGCCTCGCCGCTGCCGCAGCTGAGCCGCTGTGGTTGTGTTGCTGTGAGAGAGCGCGAGAGAGAGAGAGAGAGCGTGCGAGAGAGAGAGTGCAGCGAGAGTGTGGGTGTGAAGAAGTTGTGGGCTTTGTTTGTTGAGCTTTGGATCATCTCCTACCATGCCTAGAAGGTCAAGTTTGGCTAGGAAAGCGGAATGGGTGGATGCCCACTACCTTTTGCTTGAAGGTAAAGCTTTTGATCCGGAATCTTTTTCAAGTTCCATGTTGGATTTGCTTAAGTTTGAAGGTTTTTTGGATGGGTTTCTCGCCATAAGGACCGAGACTTACCCGAGTTTGGTGACGAAGGAAGGTGAAAGGCTTGAGATCACTTCTAAGGTGAGAGGTGTGAAAGTTGTGTTGTCTGAGAAGAGGTTGGCTTAGTTGTTGAGTTTTTCTGCTACCGGAGTGGCTCTGTACAGTGGTCATTCTTGGATTAGTACGGATATCATGGGGTACCCTGACTATTTGAGCTATCTGTTTGGTCGTACGAATGGTTTCACTCAGGCTTCGAGGCTGGAAAGGAAGTGGTTGTCTGCGGAACAAAGGATCTTGGTGATGCTGGTGTCAGATTGTTTGTTGCCTAATAATAACAAGAGCAGTTTGTTGGGTAAGTTGGAATGCACCTTTGCTTTCTGTCTGAAGAATATGGTTAAGTTCAATCTGCCTGCTTTGATGATGCAACACATGGTGTTTTGCCGGGATCACAACCAGAAGAGTTTGCCGTATGGAATGGTGCTGAGTTGGATTTTGGTTAAGAAAGGTGTTAGTGTGGATGGCTGTCTCCCGAAGGCCGTGGGAAAGATGGTGTTGGATACCGCCAATCTCATGGTGTTGGATACCGCTAATCTCCGGAGTTGTAATCTGTTTCAGTTGGATGGTGGTGAGTACATCACGCTTGAAGCGGTTGCAAGGAAAACACCTGTGGAACGGGCAGAGTTAGCTGCCGAGCTTGGAGTCTATGCCGGGAAGTTGAGCCTCGCAGTCCAGAGTTTGGGCGGTGATGAAGAAGTTGAGGAGGAAGCGGATCAAGAAGAAGAAGTAGGAGCACCGGAGACCGCCGAAGCTGAAGTAAGTGAATCAGACAGTGAGGAAAGCCGGAGAAGGAAGGAAGCTCGCACCAAGAGAGAGCAGGACGTCGTCTCTTTGCTTCGTCAGCAGAACAGTTTGATTGCCGAGGGCTTTGCGTTTGTGAAGGCGCAGTTCGTCGCAGTGCATCAGAGGCTCGACCAGATTGAAGCCAGTTCAAGCCACAGAGACGAAGACGAGGAAGAGTCTGAAGAGGCCGAGGAGTCGGAGAGTGAGGAGTTCTAGTTTGTGTTGTGGTAACCCCGTTCGTTT